GCAATTTAGCCTTTTTGTTACTAGTAAAAAAAGGGCCATTCCTTTTGTTCATTGTTTAACTCTACTTGTTTTTTTCCAAAATCCGTTGGCTTGCACCCTTCCCCAGACCCCGCACAAAGTGGGAGCTCTTTGCACTGGTACGCCGTTGGCTTGCACAAGCTTATACGAATCTTGTGGAGGCCTGTTTCACTTGTTCAGTTTCACTCCTTTTTGGGGTTTTGTCCAATTTTGTGTGTGTGTGTGTGGGGGGGGGTGTCATCCCATTGCTTACACTTGTTTTTCCTCTTCCTTTGTCCTTTGCAGAAAAAGTAGTCAACACTGCTGTTAGCTCCTTAAAAAAACACTGCTGTTAGCCAGTTCTGCTCTGATTAGGCACATTTTTGGTGGACACACACAATTGCTACTCCCTCCATTCCAAATTATAATTCGTTTGAATTTTTTTACCCCAAGTTTGACCACTCGTCTTATTCAAAAAATTTGTGCAAACAGTCAAATTTAAGTCATTCTTGAAGAGCTTTTGTTAATAAAGCAAGGCACAACAAAAGAAGTGATATTTAGCACAATTTTTGAATAAGACGAGTGGTCAAACTTGGGGTAAAAAAAGTCAAACGAACTATAATTTGGAACGGATTTAGTACTAGATTACTAATAACTTGCCTAAACTAATGACATTAAATTGCTTAACTAAATTTTGCATGCACATTTTTGGGTGGTTCTCTACTGCTCGTCTACACTTAGAACATGCACCAATGCATGTTTAGGATTCATCTAGCCTTCTGCACACTCCACCTTTGCTGCAGCAGAAAGTTGGCCATAGGTCAACCTTGTTGTCATCTCTATCATGACATGTAGGCAACTTAGTCAAACCCATTAGGCAATAATATTGTAATGAATTAGGCAAACACACACACACACACACACACACAAGGTTATGCAATTTTTGTTCAATACATGCTATGTTGTGCCTCATGTTTCAATGCATTTACATACACCAACTTTCGATGCTTATATATATGCTATATGACATCTGATTGCTGCAACACTCTAAATCTTTTAACATTTAATTGCAGGTGTCATGGTCTCAAGCATTAACATGGGATCAAATGAACAAAGAGAACCATGTGCAGCAGCAAGTGGGATGTATGGTGCATCAAATCAAAATGTGTATATGTTATGTTACTAATGCATCAAGATGTATTTCTATCGGAGTAGTACATACAACATATATGCATGTTAACTAGTAAGAATAACATATAGTTGTAATAACAACAGATCTACAGTAAGAGCATTAGTCATTAACATGTCTGATCATTGTGTGTAATTTTTGGTAAAATGAAATTCTGTGTAACAATGTGTTTCTGCTTGTCACTTTGTGTGTAATGATGTATATTTTTCTACCTGCCATTGTGTTCTAAAATGCTTCATAATATCTATCTTTTCGTCTATGTGTTCTAAGATGCCATCTCAGGATGCTCAGAATGATATGTGATGAACATTTTATATTTAATTTCGGCTTGCTTGGATGAATCTATCAAATTTGTAATATTTAGGATGTGGGCTAAACAATTCTCGCAAATCTAGAAGCAGCGAGCCAGTTGGGGGAAGTGGAAAGCGATTTGGGGAGAAAAAATAAATGCAAAAGCAAATTTGCCAAAATAGGAGTAGTTACTAACTGTTTTAAAATTCCTACAGGAAATGTAGTGTGCGTACGAGAAGCTTAGGGCATGTTGGATAAAGACCTGGACTGAAATGCCTGGACTGGACACCTGCCTGTAATCTTCCTGTGATTCATTTGGTTGGCATCCTGAGAAATCTGCCTGCTACGAGTTGCCTGACAGTTGCCTGTGAGCAGGCGTAGGAAATCGACTGCCTGGGCTCCAATCCAACTTGCCTGGACCTAATCATCCTACAGGAAGCCACGTGAGACACATCAACCAAACGCTGCCCCGTCCCTCTGTCTACTTCCAGGACGTCAACCAAACAACCAAACAAGATATGAAAAACACAGGCAGTTTTGCTATTGGGTCACAGGCAGCTCAAAAGCCCAGGCAACACGTCCAGGGTCCTATCCAAACATGCCCTTAATGCACGGCCGTGCATTAAGCTGCTTCGTTAATTTGATACAGGTTTCATTGGACACTGTCATATTATTACCAATTTTAACTTATATTTTAGATGTCATGATTATCTTAAAATAGATTAGAGGTCTTAAATTTCATAGAAAGGAAAAACATAAATAGACATGCAACACTTCCTATCATCGTTTCACATGAATGTATTTGATATTTTTTTTCTCTCGCTGCAACACACGTACATGTTTGCTAGGAAAATAAAAGTAGTTATCTCTGGAAAAGCAGTTTTAGGTTCCCCTATTTGGTTGGCTTTTCTGTTTTTTTTTTTTTTTTTGCCATCAAAAATACTTTTGAGAAGCTTAACCAAACACAGGCTAAGCCCATGTTCTTACATAGTCGATTCCCCTTTGCCAACCATTATACCAAACTTTGAATCAGGAAGCTCCATTACTTGGAGAATTCAGCATGGAATTAGAATCTGAGCCTTAGGCCTGACATATAACAAAAGTAAGGCATCATGGTATGGCTTACTCGGTGCTATATGTAGGCGCTGACGAAAAACCAAATTCATCTATGCAACACAAGGTAGGATCAAGTTCATCATGTTGCCAAATTTTCTCCAGAGGCTGGCAAGTTGGTGCCCGTGGTTGCTGAGACTGACAGATGAGCCGAAGCAACCTGTCAAGGTTCTCGTCTCCGGCGCTGCTGGTACGTTGTAATTATTCAGAGCACACGAACCAAACTGCAGAGCACACACATGCAGACCAGGACTCTGAACTCTGGAGAACATATATAGCTTCCCTGAAACATACTTGCGTGGTGGGTTGCTCTTGCAGGGCAGATTGGGTACGCCATAGTCGCCATGATCGCGAGGGGTCTGATGCTTGGGCCAGACCAGCCGGTGGTTCTCCACATGCTGGACATCCCTAGATCGGCGGAAACCCTGAACGGCGTCAGGATGGAGCTGATCGATGCCGCGTTGCCTCTTCTCAGAGGTGTTCATCGTTTGCTGTCTGTGTTCCGTGTTCATCTGCTGTGTGTGTGTTCGGTGTTCATCGTTTACTGTTGTTGCAGGTGTCGTGGCAACGAGCGACGAGGCCGAAGCGTTCCGAGGCGTCAACTTCGCCGTCCTGATCGGCGGATGGCCGAGGAAAGAAGGGATGCAGAGGAAAGACCTGATCGCCAAGAACGTCCCCATCTACCAGTCCCAGGCCTCTGCGCTGCAGCAGCACGCTGCCCCAAACTGCAAGGTCCAGTCCAGCAAAAAAGAAAAAGAAATGCGTCTGCGAAAGGCTTATAGTAGTAAACTCTGATAGATATGGCGCTGCTGCTTCGTCTGCAGGTTCTTGTCGTGGCTAACCCTGCGAACACGAACGCGCTCGTGCTGAAGGAGTTCGCGCCCGCGGTGCCCGCCAAGAACATCACCTGCCTCACGCGGCTCGACCACAACCGCGCCCTGGGTCAGATCTCCGAGAAGGTGGGCGTGCACGTCGCCGACGTCAGGAACGCCATCGTGTGGGGGAACCACTCCTCCACGCAGTTCCCGGACGCCAGCCACGCCACCACCAGGACCCAGCACGGGGAGAAGCCCGTCGTGGAGCTCATCGCCGACGAGAATTGGTAAACCGATCCATCGCGCGTCCTGATCATCAGTGGCAGATAGATGGAGCCTAGCGCCATAGCTGCTGCTTCAGGCCACAGGATTACGCACACATGTCGGCATGTCGCTGCGATTGCAGGTTGAAGGAGGAGTTCGTCAGCGTCGTGCAGCAGCGCGGCGAGGCGGTGATCAAGGCGCGCAAGCAGTCGAGCTCGCTGTCCGCCGCCAGCGCGGCCTGCGATCACATGAGAGACTGGATCCTTGGCACCCCCAAGGTCCAAGACATGCTTTTTTTTTTCATCATCCAAGCTCGTTTGAACTTTACCTCTACTCCTATATGTTTGTCAGTGAAGGAGTATCATTTTGGTCTGCAGGGCACGTGGGTGTCTATGGGCGTGTACTCTGACGGGAGCTATGGCGTTCCCGAGGGCATCTTCTACTCGTTCCCGGTGACATGCGACAAGGGAGAGTGGTCTATCGTGCAGGGTGAGTTCTTATCAATATACTGAAGTTGGTAGCATCGGCAGCACCACGGTTGACCTGTCTGTTGTTCCAGGTCTTGAGGTTGATGACTTTGCACGATCCAAGATGGAGCTTTCGGCGAATGAACTCGATGAAGAGAGGTCCATGGCGTACGAGTTCGTCAGCTCCGAAAGAGATCAGTAGATCTCTTGTGAATACATGAGTCATAATGTAAATGAAAATGGTTATGAGCTTCAGACAATTGTTGCACAACCACCAATAAATAAAACAGAAAACAATGGATTGTTGTATATCCACAAATATTGCTTTGATAAACAGGAACGACTGTCCCTAGTTGATAAATTACATGATCACTTGAGATAAAAAGAAGGAAAGAGGTGGAATGTGGCATGGCGATGGTTATCTACGATCCAGTAACAAGAACACTGCAGTTATCTTCCTAAGGGAACAGAGTACAATAATCACAAAAGATGGGGTAACCATTGTTATTGTACTTGTCCATTTGCCCTTCGGCAGATAATTGTAACTGCAATGAGACTTTACTTGGACAGATGGTCAGGTTATAGAGGCACACCATATTCAAAGAACTAATAATCATGTACGAACAATAATTTACAGGCATGGCACATCACCAGTTGGCTACTCTCCTTGGCGTGCCATCTGCCGAGACATGGCATCTCTACCGAGCCATGTCATCTATTTCTTTGTATATGCACTATGCATCCCTGCCCTGTTAATTCCTCCGTGTTTCTTTCAAAGCAAGCATATGTTTTCCCTACAGCAGCAAGCACGCACTCAAATAGCAGCATCCTCGTGTTGTCTACTGCATTTGCGATGTCCGGTTTTCATGTTGTGACCGATATGTTCCCAGGTTTTCTTAAACAGATGCAAGATGATGGAAACTCATGGAAGTCATCCTGTCTTGGTCTGATATCATCCGGCTCACCCATAAGACCCCTCTGAATTTTCTGTACCTTCCGTGAAAAGGTATCCCAGCCCAACTGATTCCGTGTCTGAAATAGTACATTGAGTTTCTTTGCATTCGGGCGAATAGTTCTCTTGTGGCCCATGTATCGCCTACACATTTGATGGAGAGTAGATGAGCGAAAAATAGCATATTAGAAAACAATAAGAGAGCATAGATAAACTGTTCGGAGATACAAATTAACCAAAAAATAGTAAAAAATAAATAAAACAAAGGCACTTTGACGGTGTGTATAGAGCCTCATGTTCTTTCATGGCAATCCAATATATTCAGCAGATGTATACTCCTTCCGTCCCAAAATAAATCAACTTTCGGAGTTATCCTAAGTCAAACTATTTTAAGTTTGAGCAAATTAGTAGAAAAAAGCACCAATATTTATAAGACCAATATTTATAAGACCAAATTAGTATCACTAGATACAGATAATTAAATATATTTTCATAATGTACTATTTGGTGTCATAGATGTTATTCTTTCCTATAAAATTGGTCAAACTTATTTGGGACGGAGGGAGTAGTTCAGAATATCCAAAGCATATGCAGAAAAAGAGGGGCACATACCTCCGGCCAGCTAAAACTTTGGCCATGTTACCATTATTATTTGTAACAAAGACATCACTCTCATCACAAACAACGAAGTCAATTGCAGCCAGCCGTGAAGAAAAAGGAAGGAAGGGATTCAAATCATCCCCAGCAAGCTTCTCCTTAGTGTAGAAATTTGGGAAAAGTTTCCTAAGAGGTTGGAGAGTTTCATCTCCACCATATATTTCTCCAGAAGCAACAAACAGAAGTGTATCATTGCCAAAACCAAGAGCTCGGAGCATTAACCCGACTTCATGAGGAGTCAGTGGGCATTTCCCCCTGCTGCGTTCATCTTCAGCACTCAACTCCTGTTATGAATCAATGTAAAATCAACCCATCACTCAAAACTTAAATCTGGTGACACAATCTGACAACCAATCATTTGAACTTTAACATCTAGAATGATGAATGTGTGATTATATAACTTGATGCATTTTTAGGACATATAAGAAAGACATTGGTCACACTACATAACAAGCAAAAGGAAATAAAATTGAAAAAAAAAATTATATGCCGATGGCAGACTAGTATTTGCAGAATATACCATAGGGAAATCTCACCGAGTTTCAAGAGTCTTACAGGTAATGTATCCCATCGTTTCCTAATTTCACCCAATTCCTTTCTTTCTTTTTCACCGCCACCGTAGTAACAGCCAGAAAATGCAAGCATGTCAGGTTCAAACCTGATGAACAAGTAACAGTTATGCTTGAAAATTTGTACTTTCATGGTTAATCATAACTTGAATTATCAAAAGCCACATTGCATTATCATAAACAACCAGAGTTTACCTCAAATGAATGGCGACATATCGTGTGTTCATGAGTCTCAGCTTTTGAACAAGTTTATGACCCATGGCGTGTATAGAACTCGTAAATTTTAAAGCATGAAAATTTACTCGGCAACGCAACTTTTGCAAATCTTCATCAAGATCGCTAGTGAGCCTATAATCAAACTTTGTTAATTGCAAAGCCTGCAAAGATTAAGACTGTTCAGTCAATAGGGAAGTATGTCTAGTTTTCATTTGTCTACAGCCACTTGACACGAGATTTTTATTTATGATGAATACACATAACAAATCTCTTCAAAAGGAAATTATAATATATGCTCGTGTTCAACCAAAAGGGCCACAACGGAACCATGCAACAGATAAACTATTGTATATAATGAACTGTTCATCTTAACACCCACCCATCCAAAATATTGTAATCAAACACGACACTTAAAATAAACAAATTGATAAGTAAGACGATAATTGACATGTTTTCCTTGCACATGATATATCACTACAAAGACAGGCAGACAGCAAACTAGGAAGAAAAAACAAGAAGTATAACTATCGAAACAATATGCAACATAAGTTTCCAGGCCATTACACAGGTTTGGCAGATTACTTACTCGCCTTCGCATGAGTATTGGCAAAACTTCATCCATGTAAAACTCAGGCATTGATTTCCTAGGTGCACGCATGGTCCACGGTAGTTTATCCATTGACAACATTACTTCATAAGGGATCCTTTTGACAATAGTTACATCCTTTGATAGGTACGAAATGAACCACTCCACGTCAAAAATGTCAGAGAAGTCACTGCATTCGAAATTTGAAGTCAAGCCATTTTGGAACAGTAACATTCAGACAACGTCCTGTAATTTCTAGTTCTCAATTCACCTGTCGTCTTTCCAGAATGAGTGGTGGTCTAACTCAGGTACAACAAGTGTGGCATTCAAAATCCAGGCAACTACAACAGCATCTGTTATCTGCAAACTGAACATCATAAAGGTAACACAAGGGATGATAGAAACAAAGCAACCAGATGTTGGAAGACAATCATACCCCTATGCGCTGTTGATTCAGGCCCCCGCTAGTTGCAATCAACAAGTAACCAGTGGAACTATTCTCTGGCACAGCAGCTGAAAGATGAACATGGAAAACTAGATTCTCATTTTTTTCCACAATTTTAGTTCAAGAGAGGAAGTGAGTAACTATACAAACTAACATCTGAAATCTGCGCTTCTCCCACTGCATCCGTAGTACATGCTGGAATACTTGGATTCCCAAATATCAATAGGTTCGTAGTTTCTATGCTGCACATTTTCAGGATTGTAAATGGTCAATCGGTATTCGGTAATAGCCAAGGAAGACGAGATAATATTCAGATTATAAAGTGTGAAAAACAGTACAGGCAGAACTTGCGAAAGATGGTAACAGAGAACATTTAATTAAGGCACACACACACACACACACAAAAAAAAAAAGAATTTCAACGATGTTCCTGGTGAAACTTCACATTGCCAGAAAATACTAAACTCTTGCACTCAATTTCTCAAAATGTCCCCAAGTCCTAACGATGTGGCAGAACTTTCTTCTTCCAATTCTATCAGGCTATAACACGCAAGAGACCAAACAACGACAAAATTTCGTGGAATTAGACAGTGGAGCAGTTAAGTCTCCAACAAATTACCTGCTTGGATCGCCATCGACTCCGGATCCGCGCCCAGTCAGCGTCAGTGACCACGTGTCCCGTAAAGAGGGACACGAGCCCTAGAACGAACAGCGCAGTTCCAAGGAACACCGGAGAACGCGGCGCCTTCCTCGCTGCCCTCGGCGAGGAGGCGCCGCCGCCGCCGCCGCCGGAGTAGTACGATTTGGCTGCCGCGTCAGGCTTCCTCCCCATGACGCACCGCACCAGCTCGAGCGCCTAGAGCACAAAATCTCGGCCTTCAACGCCCACCCTCTCTTCAGGGCCGCTGGCGCCGGCGTGCTAGCCACCCGCGCTAGATCGTGGAGGAGCAGACGTCCATGGCGACGGGAGGAGGAGGCAGGCGTGTCCGCGTGTGAACGCGACCGGGGTCTGGACAGTGGAGTGTGACGATGCCACAAACCGTACGTAGGCGGGCTGGGCTGAGTTTTATTAATGGGCCGTCAGTTAGTTGGTCCACAGTCCGCTTGGCCCGTCGTGGTTCTTTCTACATGGGCCTCCCCGTTCGATACCTGAATGAGGCCCATATTGACACCTAGACTAACGGGCCGGAGAACGTGAGAGACAGGCATCAAGCTTGCACCCGGCGCTATCCAGGGCTGGTCTTGTTCAGTTTTGAATATCAAGTTTGTTCACCTCATCAAGATCTACAATTGTTATTTTGGTCAACTTTTCATTTGAGATAGTTTGGACGGTTCAAATTTATGATTTTTAAATTTCGATGCTTACAAACTAGTTTTCGGAACCCTAGATTGTCTCAAATTGAAAAGTTTTGAATACCAAGTTTGTTCAAACTCATCAAGATCTCTGATCCTTATATAGGTTATTTTTTCATTTGAGAAAGTTTGAACAAAATGTAGTTCAAATTTCACAAGTGTGTGACATAGTTTCAGAAAGTCTATATGAGATTCAAGAATTTGTGACTAGTGTTTGATAAAACTTTCTCAAATGGGAAAATGAGCTATGTAACAATTGTAGATCTTGCTGAGATGATCAAACTTGGTATTCAGATTTTTTCATCTGAGGTCATTTAGTATCTCATTTGAGCAAGTTTGACCAAGTTAAATTTGGTCAAATGAAAAAACAACACTTTGACTCTAGTATTATAAACTCTAAAAGACTTCAAATTGAAAAGTTTTGAATACCAAGTTTGTTCAACTCATCAAGATCTACAATTGTTGTTTTGGTCAACTTTCCATTTGAGATAGTTTGGATGGTTCAAATTTGTGATTTTTAAATTTCGATGTTTACAAACTAGTTTTCGGAACCCTAGATTTTCTCAAATTGAAAAGTTTTGAATACCAAATTTGTTCATCTCATCAAGATCTACAATCCTTATATAAGCCATTTTTTCATTTGAGAAAGTTTGAACAAAATATAGTTCAAATTTCACAAATGTGTGACATAGTTTCAGAAAAGTCTATATGAGATTCAAGAATTTGTGACTAGTGTTTGATAAAACTTTCTCAAATGAAAAAATGAGCTATGTAACAATTGTAGATCTTGCTGAGATGATCAAACTTGGTATTCAGAGTTTTTTCATCTGAAGTCATTTAGTGTCTCATTTGAGCAAGTTTGACAAACTTGGTCAAATGAAAAAACAACACTTTGACTCTAGTATTATGAACTCTAAATGACTTCAAATTGAAAAGTTTTGAATACCAAGTTTGTTCAACTCATCAAGATCTACAATTGTTGTTTTGGTCAACTTTCCATTTAAGATAGTTTGGATGGTTCAAATTTGTGATTTTTAAATTTTAACGCCTATAAACTAGTTTTCCATTTGAGAAAGTTTGGACGGTTTAAATTTTGAAGCACTAAATGATTTCAAACGAAAAAGTTGTAAACAACAAAGTTTCATAATTTTTTGAGATCTACAATTTTTATTTTGATCATTTCTCCATCCAAGGTCGTTTGAATAATATCCGGATAATATCCGTTTTTAAATATCCGGATATATCCGATACTTAACCGGATTATCCGATATCCGCCGGATATCGATGATATTACATCCGTATTTGATATCCGCCTAAGATATCCGTTTTAGTATCCGTATCCGAAAAAAATTATGGATATCCGAGTAACTATCCAGATAAGTGTTCATATTTGTTCGGTCGAACGGACGGTCGAATAAATATCCGTACCGTTTTCATCCATAGTGCCGACAGTGCAAGTAATTCGACCTGTTTTCTGGGAAAAAAGAAGAAGAAAAGAAACGAATTCCACCTTGTGTCCACGGTACCAGTACCTCGCCGCACCTCTCAAGTTGATTTGGTACCATCACCGTTCACCGGAGGACAGCATCACTGTTCCCGATCATCGATGACACCCATGTGACATGTGTCCCTGCCACGGCTGGTGACCATAACAACCAACAGGACAAAGGGGTCGAGTCGAGGTCGAGGCACTGCAAGTAGTTACTAGCTGGCTTATCAGCTAGAATCTACAGCCAGCTTATCAGCTAGAATCCACAGTATTTTTCTCTCATAACAAAACAGCTTCAGCCGGCTTTAATAGCGGCCCAACAGACCCACTGACTGCTCCACCACGGCGCCCGGCCGGCCAAACCACCCGGCAGGGAAAACAGCACTAGAGCAGGCAGGCTCACGCTAACCTACCAAACGAACAGCTCGACTACTCCTCACTCGACCATCCCTCCCAAACGACAGCGGCAATCATCCAGCCAGCGCACCCTTGTCACGGGGTGTCAGCGGGAATTGAAAACGAGCGCTGCACCTGCACCTGCACCTACACTTGGGCTGCATGCATGCCGGCCCGGTTGGCAGTACGTACAGGATACGAGCACGGGCACGGCTTGCCAAGCACGTACTACTACTAGTACACTCGTACAGGCAGCAGGGTACTGGGTACAACTAGCCAGCCCCGTCGCCGAGCCAGCAGCGTCCGCAGGGAACTGCGCATGCCAGGAAGCCGCCAAAATAGGGGTACCCGTACGTATCTCCCCCAACGCCCAACACGGAGATATAAATATTATTTCCCCCAAAGCGCAGACATACCCCCCATTTCCCCGCCAATCGGGCCCATGGCCCGCGCTGTAGCTGACACTGACAACTGGACCGCGCCGTACGGGCCCCGCCGGCCGGCCGGCCTGCGGCGTGCGCGTACGCCCGGCCTGCCCCCCGCGCCAGGCTTTTTTCCCACTGCGCGGTCGAGTCGCTGTGCGACACTAACCCTTGACAGGTGGGACACAGTAACTCCTGGTCCCACGGGGCAGCGGGTGTGCTCTGCAGTGGATTTTGGTACGCGATGCACAAAATCTTTTGTGGCGTCTGGTTCCGGATATGGGATCTTTCAAGCAAGTGGCAGAGCCGCTTGTTTTGTAACCGTTACCTAGCTAGATCTAATACAATGACAATTGGGACCCACGTATCGGACTCCACGCATTTGTGTATGGCCTGAGTTCTGAGGGATGGAGCGGGGCGTATAGTCACACAGCGCGCAGCCTTTAAATGGGCGTGGCAGTGATGCCACGCACAGCAGCCGCGGGTCCCGCCTCGGATTGAACCCCTCAATGACACATCTCCATGTGGCCGCGGCCCACGGTCACGAGACTGGCTCGTGGCCCCACCACCGCCTGCACGGCTCCTGCCCGCTAGCTGTCTCAGTAGTGCCTGACGGGAGATCCCACATGTCAGTACAGGCGCTAGCTCCATGCTCCCCACCCCGAGTCACCACCACCCATTCGCCTGCCTGGCTGAGTGGCTGCCTGCTCCTGTCCGGGAGGCTCGCCTCGCTTCCCGATTGCTTTATATGGGGTGCCACGCCACGCCAGTGTGGGTAGCATACCAGCTGTACTTGCAGCAGCAGCCGCAACCGCCGCCGCCGCCGCCGCTCTTGCCCCTTTGCCTTGCCACACCGTTATTGCCGGGCGCGCTAGCTTGTCGTGAGTCCTGCCTGCGGAACGACGACGCGGCAGCACGTAGTAGCTAGCTATGGAAGGGAACGGTGGCGCGGGCGGCGGTAGCGGAAGCGCGGCACCGCCCTGGGATCTCGCCATGCACTGGGCTCCCTCCACCGGCTCGTCCTACCCGCAGCAGCCCTTGGCGCTGCGCCCAGGCGTCATGCCCAGCCAGCTCCAGCCGCTGCACCAGCAGCAGCAGCCGCAGCACGAGCTGACCTGCCTCAAGCTGGGGAAGCGGCCCGCCTGCTGCTGGGCCGGGGCGGCGGGCAACCAAGTGGTGGCGCAGGCTGGCGCGGGCCTGCCGCATGTCCACGGCAATGGCGGCGCCGCCGCTGGTGGTGGCGCGAGCGGGACACCTGCTGAGGGTAAGAGGAAGGAGAAGGCGGCGGCGCCGGCCGCGGCGGGCGTGCCGAGGTGCCAGGTGGAGGGGTGCCACGTGGCGCTGGCGGACGCCAAGGACTACCACCGGCGGCACAAGGTGTGCGAGGCGCACTCCAAGGCGCCCCGGGTCGTCGTGCTCGGCGCCGAGCAGCGCTTCTGCCAGCAGTGCAGCCGGTCGGTACATTAATTTTGCTCGACTATATACGTACTCCATTGTCCATGAAAGGTAGTATTAGGAGTTGCAGCAACCTTTGAATTGAATTGATAATAAGTAACATGCGCGAAACGACGTCCCTTGTTGTGTGTTTCTGGCTGCACGTGCAGGTTCCACGCGATCTCGGAGTTCGATGACGCAAAGCGGAGCTGCCGGCGGCGGCTGGCCGGGCACAACGAGCGGCGGCGGAAGAGCAACGCCAGCGAGGCCATGGCCAGAGGCGTCGCGCACCCACACGGTACGTGTACGTCCGTCCGTCTGTCAGTCCGTCGTCGTACCCGGCGTACTCCGATCTGGATGCTTTGTGTCCAGGATGTGATAATTAAGTTGGGCAGGGACCAGCGGCAGTAAGACCACAGCCACACGATGTACATTCATTCTGATTTTGTCGCGAGAGGAAATACTATTTCGACTAAAAAATAAAATAAAAAATAGATTATAAGAGAAACGAACACGGTCGATATCGATAGCTAGAGGACTGTAGTTAAAAAAAAACTCGCAGCGGGTTGTTAGTTTGATGCCGGGAAACATGGAGAGATAGCTGCTGCTGGTGCAGGCAAGGCACGAAAGGCTAGTCCTCGGAATGTGAGACGTGCAAAGCCCGTTAGGGCACGGATTTTTACGCGTGCCTTTACGTGCACCTGCGGCCTGCGGCCTGCTAGACTGGTGGTGTCTGGTGTCCGATGCGTGGGTATAGGCCGACCGTGCTATGATCACTTCACGGTAGAACGTCTCACAGTGGGAAAAATTTCAGTCACAGTAGAACGTCTCGCAGTGGAAAAAAAATCAGTCGGGACTGTTCAAATGCAACAGCTACGGCGCCGTGGGTTCACGGTTGGTGTTAATACCTAAACATCCGATGTACTTCCTCTGTCTCAGAATATAAGACGTAACAAAGACAAGAAATAAATTTAATTTTCTCTCAAAACTAGTATTACTGAATCGATATATGTGTCTAAAGAGAGCACGTTTTATATTATGAGATTTGAACAAAAAAGTGGTTATGCCTTATATATTAGGACGTAGTACTAAGATAGAGCTATACATAAATTTAGAAGAAATAGTTAGAAAAGAAGTTATTCTACATTATACAAAAAGTAGCCTTCATTGAAGTCTTTAATTCTGTAGGTTTCGGTGGTTGCTGCTGCTGTAGGTTTCGCTTTTCCCCCTCTCTTCAAACACTATAACGGCATGCAGCGGCTGCCGTGCCGGCTGCAGCAGCCAGCATGCTCATACGCGTACGTAGTTCGGTAGGTGTACGTACCGCTGGTATTTTGCGCGATGGTTTATGCGTGTACTGCTACGTACGAGGAGTTATGTTGCGTCTAGGTACGTAGGCTAGTACGCGTACGTACGTACGTATAGGAACAAGAACGGCCAAACTTGGCACAGCGTATCTACAGTGCACAGTACTCTGCTACTCCTGTGCGAACGAATCTAGGACTGAGCGTACGTGTACCAAGGTACTCGATCTATTTCTGCGGCTTGTGCTGACTCTTCTCCTCGACAATTGTTTTTTTTTTCTCTTGCGCCACTACTACTGTTAATAAATCGGTACCTGCGTCTTTAATTTAGTTCAGATTCTTTCAGAACGTCAGACTTGTAACTACTACCCTCTCTCCATCATGAAATAAAAAAAAGCAAACATACACGTACTTTACAATTCAGAGCTTATTATCTTTGATCAGCAATTAATCCAGTCACATGAAAGTTAAGTTTATACTACAAAATCGATTACATAGGTTTAACATTTTAAAATATTTCCTAATGATCAAACTATAATGCAGGAGTGACGGCTTTCGGCCACGGCTTCCTGCAGCCACCGTGCGGCGGCCTCCCGGGGTCCCCGGCTGGTGCTCTCTCTCTTCTGTCATCGGCCAGAGGCGGCACGGCAAGCGCCCCCTGGCTGGTCACGACGCCGGACATCTCCGCGTGCTCCAGCGCGGCGCTCGACGACCTTATCGCCGAGAACCGCGCCGCGCTCCTCTCGTGGCAGTACTTCTCGGACCGCTCGTCGTCGGCGCCCGGCCGGCATTTTGCCTCTTCGTCGACGGCGGGTTGCGCCCTCCCGCCGGTCGATCAGGCAGCAGCCAGCTGGCGCCCGCATCCCCACAGTGGCGGTGGCGGTGGCCGGTACCACGTGGCGCCGCCCAGTGCGTGGCACACGACGCTGGACCTTATGCAGACAGCAAGCTCCGGCGCCGCTCCCACCACCGGCGCGCCGTTCCGGCCAGTGCCGGAGAGGGCGGGCACGAGGCCTCTCGGTAAGACCAAGGATGGCGACGCGTCAGGGTGTAGCTTGGACGCGTGGGCGCCCGCGGGTGGAGCTCGTGTGCTGTGATCGCCAGGTGCAGTCAGCGAGGGTGGTGGCCATTGCGCCTTGCCCTGTAATGCCTGGTGTTGCTGTGCCTGGCTCCGGTGTGCTCCACGTTCCCAAAGGGATGTGTAATCCAGTGTACTTCAGCGTGTGCTTTTGTTAATGGACTGTGTTTTTCAATTTCGCTACGTGGGCTTCTGAAACGAAAGTTGATATATTTTTCTTTCTTGTGATCATGCGAGGACGAGCGACGAAATGCGCACTATCGCTCATGGGTCTCCTAGCGAACTACCATCTTCTTGTATCAATAATGCTGAAGCAAGCAAATCATTATTTTTTTAAACGATCATCTTATTAGAACACCCACCTTTGTAAATGATTTTCGCTTGAACTTATCAGCCTGTCTTATCAGCCATGATACATTGTTTTTCTCACACAATAAATCAGCCAACAATACTTTTCAGCCCGACTTTTCAGCGAAGCGAACAAGGCTATCAAAAGCTATTGTATCTAAAAAGTCAAAATGTGTCAAATAATTTCATTGGAGCGAGGGAGTACTATAAGTTGTTTAGAAAGTCAATGCATACGAGGTGGAACTTTCACTAACAACTTTAGCTATCATATCACAAATAAGAAGGGTTTGTATGCTATGAAAATAACTTTTATCATGAATATAATCCAACTAATATTTCACATATTTATTGAAGGTCAGAGTTGAAAATTTGACTGACATCAATCCAAAAACAACTTACTCCGGCATGTCTTACTGATGTTCTTAAATTGATTGACATGAACCCTCTATTTAATTTGGTGTAGATGTATGCATGCTTGTATTAAAAAAATGACTGACATGAACCCTCTGTAATCCCCGCAAAAAAAAAGAACCCTCTGTAATCCCTCATGATTTGAGCATCACTAACAGAGTTCAGATCCAGAAAAAAATGAAGTTATGAGAATTAGATCACCAAAAGGGGACACAAGAATGACATGCTTTTTCTCCACTTTAATTTTTGAATTTCCCCCTCCGATTTAGATTTAGATACTGCACAACTTCTGGTACAGATTTAAAAACCTATGCAATATACTAACTCGTGAGTATCATAAAATACAGTTAAATAATGAATAATTCATCAAATTCATTAAGAGAGAATGAGTGGACGACAATGTGGTCTTCCTTTTAGTAGGGCTCATGGGAAGAACGAACGCCCGTGGCGTGCACCAGTATGTAGTTATGGCACACGATTGTAGGCTCTTAGCTTAAAGAAGTTGTAAAAGTCTACATAATATCCACTATGATTGTGTCAGATTGAAGTACCACTACAGTGTGGCACTGCGGCTAATAAGCGATGTGACAACAACCTACAACCTCGCTAGACAATCTAATCTTGGTCTAGCTTACGATCCTATCTTTTCCAGAAAGCACTTTTAAGTACTGTCAGGACGCAAGGCCCCAAACAGCCCATGACTCTAAAAAGTTTAAGCAACACGTCCCAGTACCCCTCCGTCTATTCATATTCATAGCTAAAATGTCATTTATTTTTGGATGGAGAGAGTAGGCATGACCAATTATAAATAATTGTTATTTATAAGAATAAGTTGCTTATTTATGTATTGTGACACGAATACTCACAGTTAATGCCGCTCTATGAAATCATCTAGAACTTGATCAATGGCCACGTCTTGTCTTTGAAAATGGATTTTAGGGTAAGGTCTTTAATTTTATTTTGTGAGACGGCCTTTTTATATAAATCACATGTAAAACAAGTCCTTGCCCATTAAAAATAACCCTAAAACCTCAACAACCGCCGTCATCCTCCCTTTTCTTCCACAACTCTTAGGGCCTGTTTGGATCTTAGTCTAAAGTTTAGTTGGCTAAAGTTAAGAAATAAAACTTTAGACCGCCTTTGCTCACTTGTTTGGTCTAAAGTTTTTGTGAGGTTAGCTAAACATTAGACAACAGTATAGACATTCTCTTTGGAGCATCAAGAGCTAAAGTGATCTAAAGTTTAGTGCAAAACTTTATACAGTGAGATCCAAGAGCCTTATATGATGTCACACAACGTCCATCGCCCCCTCTTCCTCTCCCTCACCCAAATCCGATCCAATGCACACTTTGCTGCATGTGTCGCTGCCTTCGAAGATGCCATGGTTATTGTCATTCATGTTGGTGTTGGCGCCATTGCTGAGGAGGCAGAGGTGGATCAGAGGATGAGGTGATGACACCCCTTCTTCTCCGCACCTAGTGGACTCCTAGCTCTCAACCCCGGCCCCCTCCCATTCGCATAAGGGTGGAGCACCCGACACCTAGCTCCTTTTCTCTCCTCTAGGTGTAGCTGGCCAGCATGGCAGATCCAATATGGATGCTTGGGTATTCCCCTAGATAAAACATTATGTATATATTAATTATACACCACTATTACAGAAACAATTTTCTAAGGCGTCTCCTTTTTACTAGAGGTGATTGCATACCTAGCTCTAGAAATCATTGATTTATAAAGACCTTTGAATAGAGGCGGTTGGGGGGCCGTATCTACAAATTTTTTCTCGTTGCCTCTACAAAGCATTTTCATAGTAGTGCACATTTATATTTGTTAGTTGGCCTTTGTTTTCTTCATTTCTTGTCATTCACTTATCAAAAACCATGGCCTAGAGCCCCTCCACGCCACACTCTAATAGGACTTTGTTGGCCCATCTGAATTGCCATTCGCCAACTAGCCTACTAGCTAGGGTCTTCCTTAGGGTACATCTACGTCGTGTGCATCCATCACCCTTTCCCCACCCCTAATCCTCTTGTCTCTCCCAAGTCCTAATCCCCATAGGAACCTTAGGCTAGTCCCCAGCCACACCAACACACGCGGGCATGACAATGCGATGGTGTGTAATTAGTGGTAGATCGACTACTTTGGTTTGGGAATACCCAACTCTGAGATCCTAAATCCACCACTGGTGCCCAAGACTAAGGTGTAGTATGCGCTAGTGTGGCCATGGCCGAGGATGTAAGATCTAGGTAGTTACTACACGAAGTTCACTCTAGAGTATATGAAGTTTCTGTAATAACTGATGTGTAGCATGCATGGAACGCTTTCTTAGGCTAATTTTGTATCTGTTTTGTACAATTGATTCATAACAAAGGTAAGTTATTAGTAGTCCTCTCTTTGTAGATCAATTGGTCGTGAAACTGATGTGGAGCAAATTTATAAATTTAAGACTCTAGCTATCGCTACTCCTCTCTTCTGTTTTTTAGAACAAATTAAATGCGAAGATAATTGCAGTGTGACTCGAGATGACTAGTGAATCTGTAAATATATAGTGTGAATCCTGTTTTTTTTTCTTCTACACCAACTGTGCCATCATGCACTAAATAGCATTGCTAAGGACATGTTATTATGCATAACGGCACGTAACATGAGCCGGTAGGGATACTCTATTATTCCTACTCGCATATACTATTTGTGATGACATTGACGCTGCCATGACCATGAATACCATCTATTTTGCTCTTGTATTGACGGTCTAATAACGGGCATGGATGGGGTCATCAGGGGTGTGGCACAAATGAGGCCTTACAAGGCTCTCTTTGTTCCGGCTTCAGCTCCTCCTAGGCCTAGCAATAAGCAATTCTCTATCCACCTCAAAAATAAAATACCAAAGATGAGAAGCTAGTGCATGTAGTGAACCTGGTTATTTGAAACAGATTTTACTGGCTCATGCTATAGTTAAATTAACTAATGCTCTGCTGCTTAATATCAATAACAGAAACTCACGTATACGTGTACATGTACTCTAAGCTGGCCATATCCTAGTGATGATGCAAGATGAAGCAAACTCTCTGGCCAGATCGTGATCAATTGAAGAACAATCTATTCTTCTCAAGTTTCACCGCACCGAATCAATCACTAGAAATAAACAAATGAACTTTTTTTTTTGGTAAATAGTAATTGTAACCGTAAAATTCCAGCGAATTTGAGCTCATATGTACCCCTACAACAGGTCATGATCGCTTTGCTAAAAAACCATAGCTGAAAATATTGTTCGCTGATTTATTGTGCAAGACAACCGAATATAGCCACAGTTATGAGAATAGTTCTCACAATCAATACTCACTGGTGGTCACTACTGACGAAGCCACGTACTATATGATCGAGCAAGTAATGCACCTAGCTAGCTAGCTACATATATAGTGCTAGTAGATGCATGGCAGAGCTGGGTAGTACTACAGGCCAGTGGCCAGAGGCCTGGGGAAGAAAGAACAAAGCATGAACGACCGGAGCACTGCAAGAGAAACTTGACCCCCAGTGTCCAGACCGGAGCCCGTGTTTAGCGCGTGTTTAGTTGCTACCCAAAATCTAAAAAAGTGCTACAGTATCTATCACATCGAATCTTGCGATACGTGCATGAAGCATTAAATGTAGACAAAAAAAAAACTAATTGTACAGTTTAGTTGGAAATTGCGAGACGAACGTTTTGAGCCTAATTAGTCCACGATTGAACACTATTTGCCAAATAAAAACGAACGTGCTACAGTAGCCCGAATTCCCAAATTCAGAGAACTAAACACGCTCTTAGTTTCAAAAAAAGTTTCAAAAAAGTGCTACAGTATCCATCACATCGAATCTTACGATACGTGCATGGAGCATTAAATGTAGACAAAAAAAAACTAATTACACAGTTTTGTTAGAAATCGTGAGACGAACGTTTTGAGCCTAATTAGTCCATGATTGAATACTAATTGCTAAACAAAAACAAAGTGCTACAGTAGCCAAATTCCAACTTTTCAACCAACTAAACACGGGCTGAGCATGTGACGAGCGTGCCACTTAAGTTACCAAGGACACATCACCTCCGTGCATGCATTCACACACCACAGTCCACAGGAGAGATACACATACACAGTGTACTCCAAGACTTGTACTGGCCGTAGCAATATAGAAAAGGTAGATTAATTTTCTCTTCAATGCAATACTGGCCCCTGCAATGCCTTGGGTTCGGCTGGCCCGGTTTCATTTGATTCTGCTACAGGTTGA